TCTGTAACTGCTTCTGACCTATCTCCTGAGCGTGGGACGTGGTAACCAAAAGTGTCAGCAGCTCTTCATCGCTGGCAGAGCTGTGCTTGCACTTCATCTTCCCCCATTAAAAAGGGGGGAAACCCACAAAAACACCAAACACCTGTTTGACTCATCTCCCTTCCTTTCTCCATTGGCAAATTAAACTGAAAAGCTGGTTGAACAGTGGCAGAGGGGACTTCGTTTTTAGTCAAATCATTTTTGTCTTTTTTTGCCACTGGATTTTCTTGCTGTCATTTCCTCCATGTGGTTTTTGACAGCTGAGATTCTTTTTATTATACATTCTTTTTTTTTTTGCATTTAATAGCTAAGATTTTTTTTCACTTCCCAGATTTAACAAGCTTAGAATGACTGTTTGACCCTTGTATTGAGCTATGTTTCCAAATTTACACCTATCTACCCTAAATTTCATTCATTCTTTGAGAGCATAAATGTCTATGATATGCCAGTGCTGCCAGGTATTGGGGCCAAAGATATGAATAACACATGGCTCCTATTATTGAATAGCTCAGCGTGTAGTGGCCAGTTAGATACAAAACAGGTGAATACACTGCAGAGCTGTGGGGGGACAAAAAGGGAATTTTGAATGGGTAACCCCTTAGGTTACATGTAATCTGTCATAGAATAGTTCCTGCCCTAATTGTTAGGTTGTTACTTGTGTTTGTTGATGGTAGTAGGGTCTTTGAGAACTACTTTGTTCAAAGATTATTTTTATCTCAAGATTGTACTTTTTATAAACAAACAAAAACTTTGCACTGAAAAGTTGAATGATTTCTTTTTTTAAAAAAGGGAAAAGTAAAGAGAAGTTGGGAAAACTATGCTAATTTTGTATTTAAATGAAAACAAAATTAGAATATTATATAAGAATCCATATGCTAACCTTCACAAAGACTGGGAGATCTTAAAGAGGAACAGTCCCTGGAATGTAGAGGCAAATGAGTGGTTTGGGGAGCCTCCTGCAGTTTCTGTCGCTGACAAGAAAGAACCTCCTTATACTGAGCTCTCATTGTTTCTGTTATGAAGGATAAAGAAAAAGATGCAGGAAAGAAATACTAGATTTGTTCATCATCTGCTACATAAAATTCTTTGGCAAAAATACCATTAATCCATTTTATAATTCTGTGAGGTTGATTTCTTTCCCCTTTTCTTCCCACCCCCTTTTTTTTAAATGAGAAGTTGTTCAGATAGATTTCATGATTCTTAGCAGTGGTCTGTGCTAGGACCTGGTTTTAATGCAGATGTTTTTGACTTTCATCTTTTCCCTAAAGTTTTTGTGAAGAAGTTTTCTGAAACACCAGTGGTATAACCCAGGAGTGTGCATTTGACAGATACTATAGGCCATTGTAATGAAGATAATATAAAGTTGAAATACTGCTCTTACAAATTTTGACTTATGTTTTGTATTACCATCACCTGTCCTCCTGGACAAGTTATATGAAGCCCTGACTCAATCATGAGACTGCACGAAAAGAATTATATAGGTCAAGTCTCAACTTGTAGTGAGGTTACTATCTGATGTGGATAAGGAGATTCAGAATAATAACGTTTAAAATTTATGAGCATTTACTGTGTGTCAGGCCCTATAGTAAGGGCTTAACACAGACTATCTCTTAATTCTTAAAACAGCCCAGTGAGGTAGATATTTTTATTCCTTTTTGCAGATGAGAAATTTGAGTTTGGTGTGGTGACATGACTTACAACTTACCCTGCGTCCTAGACTTATGAATGGGAAACTCCAAATATAGACTAGGGAAAATGTCATGATGCATATTGGTAGATTACAAACAGACCAAATGCACGTATTTTATTAGAGTAAAAAGAAAAGTTTCTTTGTAGAAACAAAAACAGAGGTTTCATAGGAGAAGATGTCTAGATTGGGATCCTTGGAAGGAAATGCCTAACACTTCTTTGATTGATCTACTTAGTAACTGTGGCTTTGGGTATATGATGTCAACTAACCTCAATGTTCTATTCTATAAAAATGTGAATGATAACCATTGACACCAATAAAAACCACCAATGAACTTGTATATCCATACCATCATTATTTCTTTATCTTTCCAAAGTAATGTTTATCTTTTTAAATAAAATTATCCCCCAATATTAATTAAAGCAAAATGTAATATTGAGACATACGGATTTACTTTTTAAAAAATTCAAAGTTTTAACATATCTGTCCTAATTCTTCTTCATAGTCCAAAACCAGTCTCTCTCTCTCATTATATGCTTATTACCCAACCATAAGATGACTCACTTGACATGTTTTCTCTGAGAAACTTATAAGAATTAAAAGTCAAGCTTTGGTCAAAGTACTAATGTACTTAATGAAAAAATAGATATAATTATTAATATATGATAGAAAATGGCATTTATCCTCTGAATATATTTTCTAGACTTATATTATTTTTTTAATGTTACAAATTTAAAATGTGTAGCTTTGAATCAAAGAAAATGATAGCAAATGTTGTTTTTTAACTAGTTCACTTTTTATATAGGAAGTTACAGTTTTGGTTCTCTACTCTTTTTTATACTGGCTTCGATACTAGAGTTTTATATGTATTTTTTCCAAGTGGTAGCTATAGGGCAAGTGGTAACAGCATGGTGGTGGCAGAAAAGGGTCTCAGCTAGTGGAGAGAAATGACCTTCCTTCTTCAGAGGCACCCAGGCGTCCCCTTCTGCCAACAGTGAGTGTGACCCAGGCAATCAGTCAAGCACTAACCAGTTTGGCTTAGTGGATAGAGTGTTGGCCTGCGGATTGAAGGGTCCCAGGTTCGATTCCGGTCAAGGGCATGTCTGTTGGTTGTGGGCACATCCCCAGTAGGGGCTGTGCACGAGGCAGCTGATCGATGTTTCTAACTTTCTCTATCCCTCTCCCTTCCTCTCTGTAAAAAAAAAATCAATAATATATATTGTAAAAAAAGGAAATCAGTCAATATTACATATGTCCCCTTTTTACCTCCATTGACCCCTTCAACAATAAAGATTTAAAATGATTAAAAAAAAATAGACAGAGAGCCCTAGCTGGTTTGGCTCAGTAGATAAAGCATCGGCCTGTAGACTGCAGGGTCTGGGGTTTGAGTCCAGTCAAGGGCACATGCCTGGGTTGAGGGCTTGATCCCCAGTAGGGGCCATGCAGGAGGCAGCAGAGCAATGATTCTCTCTTATCATTGGTGTTTCTCCCTCTATTTCCCTCTCCCTGCCTCTCTAAAATCAATTATTTATATATGTATATACATATATATATACACATATATGTAGTTGACCTGTAAAAAAAAAAAAGAAATTTGGTCAGGTTAGATAGGGAAGAAGAAAAAGTCTTCTCTTTCCTTATCAATTTTTTTTTTTTTATTCCTTTGACTTGAAACAGAAAAAAAAAAGTTTTAAAAGAATTTAATGCCTAAATTCACTGGGATGCTAAAAATTTAGACTGGTAGGAATATATGAGCAGTTATGAAAGAAATGGTCACTCTCATAAATGAGCCCAAAGACATTTATGATGCAAGTGCATCTAGGGGAAACCGAAATAGTTAAGTGATATCCTGTCCTTTGTTTTTTCATGGCCCTAGTGTTAATATTTACTCTCCTTTCTCATGAATGGAAGCAAGTATTTATTTTTAGATGGAGAATTTTAACTGTTGGAAGGAAAATACTTAGACCTCACTAACAGCAAAGAGATATGTAGAGAAACACAGGTGTATTAAGACATACAAAAACAAATAAAAATTTATACCATTAACTTTGACCTTGATCTCTCCCTATACACTCTCATCAAAAAGTGGTTAACAATGTACTTATTCCCACTGTGCTCAGTAAGGGAGGTAAGGATGCAGCAGAGACTATTGACACTGGGTCCGAGGGACTTGGTAAAGGCAATCTAGCCTTTTCTTTGCCAGCCATTTTATTTTTACATAGTTTTTACTACAGTAAATCATGACAGTACTTTAGAAATGTTCATATACAGTTTGTTTACATGAGCCATCATATCTAATAATAGACAGACATGGTAATTAACCATACCTCCGACACACTTCCCATTGGCTAATCAGGGCGATATGCAAATTAACTGCCAACCAAGATGGTGGCCGGCAGCCACGCAGCTGAAGTGAATAGGAGGCTTGCTTGCTCCAGTGATGGAGCAAGCCTACCTTCCCCGCCTGCCACTGCCAGCCTCTGAGCTGCATTTTATGAAACAATGTTGCAATTATAGAAGCTAAACAACCCCCAGAACCCTGCCCTCAGCCAGCCGGGCCTCAGACCTGGAGATGCAACAGTGTTTCAATTATAGAAGCCAAACAAACCCAGATACCTGCTTTCAGCAGCCGAGGTCTCAGAGCTGGAGCTGAGCCTCAGAGCTAAAGCCAGCTCTCAGCTCCAGTGACAGCCATAGATGGTAAATAAATCCCAGAATAAAAAGAAAAAGAAAAAAAGGGAGCTT